CATCTTCAATCAGATGAATTATTCTATTTATTTTAAGATTAAATATTTATAAATTATCATTCCTTCTTAACTTATCAAAGCATGTCCATTAAAATAACCTGTATTTTATTGCTTTTTCACATTACTGATTTGCATAAGTTGAATTAGTATAAAATATTTAAAATTGTTAATAATAAATTTGTTAGCTTTATCATTTTATCTAAAACTAACTTTTTATTGAGGTTCTCTAGCAAGTGTTTTTTCTCTAACTATATTGTTTAATTTTGACATCTTTCTATGTTAGCTTATAATTTAATTTTACTTTTTATTTTTGTGATCATTTTCAAATCTTTTTCTCAATTTACATTTTTTTTTTCTTCATCTCTCTGTGATTTAGTATCTTTTAATGTTCAATATTTTTTTACTATTAAATATGTTTCATTCTTTCACTTTTCTTTTGTTGTTAGATACCTTATTTTGTCTTTTGCAAGCAAATTACATTATTCAATGTGACTTTATTATCTTTTTCTCTTTTAGACTTGATTATTTTTGAAATTTCAATATTTTTTAAGTTCTTTACTATTCAAATAATATTTAATAACACTCATCTTTGGTTGTATTAAAATTAAATTCTATTTTACATTTTAATTTATTATTATTAAAAATTGGTTTTGTACATTCTAAATAGTTATTATGTTGTAACAATTTTTTTTAAACATAATTTTATATTTAAAACCTTCTTATGATTCTTATACTCTTTCAGATAATGTAATTTTTATTGAAATAATTTTTATTTTTTCAATATATGAGTTATTTTTTACTATAATTTCAGTTCATATTTTTATTCTATATAAATTTATATAGTTTTTCTATTCCTTTTTTACGCTCTTTTTCTTATAATTTCCTTTTTTGATATCATAACTAACTCTTTCTCATTCTTTTTAGTAGTTTTCTTAGTCAATTAATTTTAATTTTAATTTTTGTACTAATTATTCATTTATTTATTTTAAATCTCTCTTATCATACTCAATCGCTAATATTTCAATAGTAATCTTAATTACTTTTATGTTTATCTTTTTATCCTTTTTTCTATATCTTTTTTCTAAGATTTTTGTAATATTAAATAAATATTACTTTTATTATATTTCTATATTCTTTTCTATTTTTGAATTTTTTATTAATGAAAAGAAATATAAATATTTAAGTTTAAACATTTACTAGATTGAATTGTTTTAATTATTATATGATTTCCAATTTTTTTTAATTCATTTTATTTCTATATAATTTAGCATTCTTTTAATTTGATTGAGTATATATTAAAGATAATATTGGACTTGTATAAAATTTATAAAATTGAAAAAAGTTAAGATAAATATTTTATAAATAAAATTATACTTGTTAAATTAAACATTAGTTTTAATAAATAATTAAGAATTGAAAGGGACTTCGAATTAATTTGAAATTTATAATATATCTGATATCAATCCATATATTCTAATTCTTAAAGTTCCCAATCTTCAAAGTTTCCATTAGGCAAATATCTTCTAATGATGAATGGTATTTTATTTTCATTCAATTCTTATTGAGCTACTTAGATAGGATCAGTTGTTTCTTCTATAAAATGTTATATATAGTAAATACTTGGATCGACATATATAGGACTGTTTCTACTAATTTATAAAGCTCTTGTTCCAATAACTCTGGCACGCTCATATTTAGTTAAAAAAGGAGGAGTAACTCTTTCATTTTTAAGAACTCTTCTTCCTTTAGTTTATTATGTCATAGATCCTGTTCTAATAATCTAATCTTCTTCTTCATCTTCACTAGAATCTGAAGTCACAGATTTTTATTCATCTAATTATTTTAGAAGTATAAATTACTTTCTGATTCAGTAACATCTTAATCGTCAATAGGATCTCCAAAAGATGATTAAGATTATGAGATTCCATCTAAATCTGAGTTATCAATTTCTGGTTCACTATCATAATTACTCATTAATAAAAATATATAATGGTAAAATTTGAAGATTTTTAGAAATTAACACCAAAAGAAAAGAAGAAAGCTATGGCAGATTTACATGATTTACGTGGGGCAACTTATTAAATTTATAAAGAGAAGGCATTCCATCATATTCAAAAAAAAGTGAATCCAAAACACAACTTTGGAATATATTCAGTCCCTAAATATTTTATTTGATTTAATATATGGACCATTTCTTAAGATTCATTAATCCCCATGTCTTTTTGGGATGTGTACAATTCTTACAATTACAAACATCTAAAGAAAACGAAGCTCTTCTNCTTTTATTATATTTCTATATTCTTTTCTATTTTTGAATTTTTTATTAATGAAAAGAAATATAAATATTTAAGTTTAAACATTTACTAGATTGAATTGTTTTAATTATTATATGATTTCCAATTTTTTTTAATTCATTTTATTTCTATATAATTTAGCATTCTTTTAATTTGATTGAGTATATATTAAAGATAATATTGGACTTGTATAAAATTTATAAAATTGAAAAAAGTTAAGATAAATATTTTATAAATAAAATTATACTTGTTAAATTAAACATTAGTTTTAATAAATAATTAAGAATTGAAAGGGACTTCGAATTAATTTGAAATTTATAATATATCTGATATCAATCCATATATTCTAATTCTTAAAGTTCCCAATCTTCAAAGTTTCCATTAGGCAAATATCTTCTAATGATGAATGGTATTTTATTTTCATTCAATTCTTATTGAGCTACTTAGATAGGATCAGTTGTTTCTTCTATAAAATGTTATATATAGTAAATACTTGGATCGACATATATAGGACTGTTTCTACTAATTTATAAAGCTCTTGTTCCAATAACTCTGGCACGCTCATATTTAGTTAAAAAAGGAGGAGTAACTCTTTCATTTTTAAGAACTCTTCTTCCTTTAGTTTATTATGTCATAGATCCTGTTCTAATAATCTAATCTTCTTCTTCATCTTCACTAGAATCTGAAGTCACAGATTTTTATTCATCTAATTATTTTAGAAGTATAAATTACTTTCTGATTCAGTAACATCTTAATCGTCAATAGGATCTCCAAAAGATGATTAAGATTATGAGATTCCATCTAAATCTGAGTTATCAATTTCTGGTTCACTATCATAATTACTCATTAATAAAAATATATAATGGTAAAATTTGAAGATTTTTAGAAATTAACACCAAAAGAAAAGAAGAAAGCTATGGCAGATTTACATGATTTACGTGGGGCAACTTATTAAATTTATAAAGAGAAGGCATTCCATCATATTCAAAAAAAAGTGAATCCAAAACACAACTTTGGAATATATTCAGTCCCTAAATATTTTATTTGATTTAATATATGGACCATTTCTTAAGATTCATTAATCCCCATGTCTTTTTGGGATGTGTACAATTCTTACAATTACAAACATCTAAAGAAAACGAAGCTCTTCTCAATACAAGACTTTTTGAGAAATTAAAATAAATAGGTGTACCATAAGATAAAATTGATTAAATCATCCAACAAGATAATCTTTAAGGAAAACTTACATCAGTTACAGAATTACTTAAACTTAGATAAAGAGCACTTATAGAATATGTCTAAGAAAATTTATGGACTGTTGAAGAAGCCTATTAAGCATTAATAATATTATTTGATTAAGGAGAATATGAAAGAGCTACAGAAATTGTAGATATTCTCTATCCATGTATTGAAGTTACTGAAAAATTAAGTCATTTAAAAAATGGATTTTTATGGGCTAGATTAGTAAATATTATATTTATCTATTCAGAATTGCAAATTAATTGCACTTTTTAAGAATACTAATTATGCTACATAATGTATTGAAACTATTAAAGAATTAATTAAATAGGAGGATAAATTAAAATAAAATTTTAAATAAAGAGCTGATCTCTTACATGCAGGAATTTTAGTTTGTTTTATTTCTGATGATACTAATGCTTTCCTAGAACTTTTCTCTAGTGAACATTTCTTAGAAGTTGTTCATACTATTGCACCTTATTTATTATATTATTATACTATTGCATTATTAATCAATTAATAATTTATTGGTAATATGAGTCTTGCCATCATTGGAAATAATGCAAATAAATCTATTAAATCATTCCATTTACTTAATTATATTGAAGAAATCATTGTTAGATTTCAATTCGATAATGCTATTAAAATGATCAATCATATTTCATAAGAAATTGATTAAGATTTTATTGTCAAATCTAAAAAAGAATTTATTATTAATGCTTGTAAACTCTATTTCTTTTCAACTTATATCAAAATCTTTAATGGAGTCTAAATTAAGTATATTTCCACCCTCATTTTATTAGACAATTTTCATCCTATTTATAACTCAATGAAGAAAACACTGAATCATGGTTAGTTAATGCAATTAGAACTTTAAATATCAATGCAAAAATTGATGGAGATAAAATTATTGTACAAAAATAAGATACAAATGCACAAAATACATAAGTAATAATTTATATATATAAATATATTAGTTATTAAAATAATTAAGAGATTTACAACCAAAATCTAATATGTTAATGTCAAACCTTTAAAGAATTATTGTTAATAAATGAATCATCTATATTATTGCAATCAATAAAATAATTTATATTTAATACCTTACTAACCTTCTTTATTTATATTCTCAGTTATATATATATTATTTTAATTAAATATCATAATTAAGTATTTGTGCAATTCATTAGTAATTTCAAAATTTCTTCATTAAATTCATTGAAATCAAAATTTTTTGAGTTATAATCAGGTAACAAACGAATCTATTAATTCAACTTCTCACATGATTCTTTTTAATTTCTTCTATTATAATACATTTTTTCAATAAGTCTGCATTATTCGGTCTTCTTATTTGAGTTTAATTTCAAAGTATCTGATATATTCATAAACATTTCATTTAACTTATTAATAAGATCAGCATTATTATTTTTCTTTTAATGAATTTTAAACATCATTTTATCTGTATTATTTCCTATTTCCATTACATGTTATGAGATTTTTTACCTCAAATTTACGATTGGTTTACAAATTAAATTGATAAATATAAGACTTAAACAAAATAAGATTATAGCTAAACCAAATATTATAAGAACAGCAAACCCATATTAAAGTAAAAATACACTTTAATTATCTAAAATTTTTTGTTCTAAAATATATTAAGCCGTAAGATTTGTAAATCTATTTTATTATAAAATAAACATTACAAAATCAGAGTTAAATTTTCTTTTTTAAATTTCTTGCATTTTAAATTTACGAATTACTCATACACTTTATTATATAGTGTCAATAAAGAACCTTCATTTGTTTTAGATTAAAGTGATTAATCTTAATTTGCTTTATATTCAATTTCCTTCCAATCATTTAAATTGAAACCAGTTTTTGTTTCATTATAAATGTACAAAATTTCCATATCATTTGTTTAATTTTCCAAACCATTATACATAACTTAACCTTAAGAGTTTATTAATAAAACATTAAATTTTATTTTTTGTAGATATGGGTCGGTTATAAATAATACTGTTTTCAAAATTCCAAAAAATTCTCTTTAATTATTGAATAATGATTGAGTAATTGAAAAACTATATTATTAAGTACCGTACATAATCTAATAAACATCTGTAAAAAAAAAAAACTCATTTTATGTTATATTAACTTATTCCATATGATTTTTATACCTAAATATATAATTAATTATACCATATTCTTTCTTAGGGGTTATAATCTTTAACTAATAATCCTGCTGGATATAATGAATCAAATATTATTGAACTTATGTCTACCACTTATAAAAAATTAGGCAATTAAATATTGAATAGTTATGAATACTAATCAAGTTGTGTAAGTCCCTTGATTAATAGAGTTATGTTCTTATTATTTCTCATCTATTCATATAAGTCGCTGTGTATTTATTAACAAAACTATGGAATATTTTTATTATATTTTGTTTTTTCGTAATCATCTTATGTTAGGCAAAGATCTAAATTATCTTTTACAATGAATTTATCTTAGTTGTTAGCAAAGTAAAATAAAAAAGAAGCAATATTATCAATAAGTTAAATGCCTAAATTTTTATTATTTTTTACTTCTTTAATGCTTTGTGATTAAATAAGATTCTACTTGTTTCCCTATACAATCAATCTATTTAATGTCTGTAGTATTCATCATAATATTTGACGATTCTAAGCTGATGTAATAAAATATTGAGGCCTCTATATAAATTCCCAAGGCGCAAACGCTTAAAACTAATAACAAGATTATTATATCAAGAATTATTATTTAAGATTTCATCTTGAACTCTCTAAATAAAGAACAAATGAACATGCCTTATAAAATAGGGTGATTTAAAAATTTTAATTTATAAAATTTGATGTTTATTAATTAAAAAAAAACGATGATTAAATATACAATTGAATTAGGGCCAAACTAATAGATGTAATTAATTAAACAAGAAAATTCTAAGAAGAAAACTCAATAGAGATAATTTTTAATTAAATCTGTAAACAACTTTGATTTTTTGTATAATTTTTTTGATCTATATTCAAAGATAAATGATAACATTAAAGAGATTAATTTAATCTACTATAAACTAAGTAATGAGTGTTTTGCTGAAGATTAAATTATAGCATTTATTACAAGATTTCTTTATTATAAATTTTTTCTAACTGTTTCTTCATAATTCAACATTATCAACATAAATATCCAATTATATAATAACATATCTTATTCATTTCTTAAAAGCCATAAAGAAGAACAATAAATTTCTAATTATAACTAACACGAATGCTCAATTATGTTAAATATTAATATTCAGTAGATGATTATTGTCTAATTGTATTGGCCAACTAAGTTTTCTTTTGAAGATTTATCCTTTTATTATTTTGTAAGGAAAATTATGAAATAAATAACTTCCATTTTTCTTAAAAAGATTTTATAATAAAAAAGCAAAAATAGTTCTAATTTTCTTCAAAGCTTCATCATATTCAAATCAGATTTATTTCTCTTTAAAGAAAATCTTTAATAATATAATATTTTTATTTTATTGTAATAATTTTCAATAATTATTTTGATTATGTTTCTCATAATGAAATTTGAAATTTAAAAAAAAATTAAAGTCCATTAAGGGATAAAAATGGAATGTTTGATTAGAATAAAAAATAAAATTGTCATTAATCCATGTTTGAATTTAATACCTAAATTTATTGAACAAGATGAAATAAAAAATAATATAATCAATCCCCACTAAATTTTTCTAGTATTTCAATTGCATTAGTATCTCCCTAGCTTAGAAATGCATGCATAGCATTAGCATATCTTTATTTTTATTGGAAAAGTTATAATTCTTTTTTATAAATTAAAAAGTCATACCTAAAGAATCGTATTTTTTTGATAAAATTTCAAACTATTGTTCGTATTCATTTTTTTCTCTTTATAATTGATCATATTCAGCTTTGAAAGAAAATAATTTTGATTAATTTTCTAATAAGTCATCATTTGATTTTTCTATCATTTTTTGATATTCAGCAATACGTTTATCGTTTTCGTCATCATTTTCTAATTCTTAGATTCTTTCTCTGCAATCTATTAATTATTAATTTTAAATGGTTAATTTATTTTTTAGATCTTGATTTTCTTTTCTAATTCTAGAAGCTGATTATTCAAGTTCAAATAATTATTCTTTCAAATTAGTATTTGCTTAATTTAACAATTCAATTTTTTAATCAATGTTTTCTTATTTAGATCTTTAAGATTATTAATTTTTGAGTTATTCAATTTCTAATTCTAAATTTGTACATTTTTAACAAGGAAGTTGTTTATTTTTTTGAATTTATTTTAATTGTTCTAGAATAGAAATATAATCATAATTACCTATTTAAAATAGAAATTCATAACATTTTTGACAATCTTAAGGTTAAACAGTTTGAGTTTCTTAATTAGATTTAGAGGAATATGTATTAAGCATAGCATCTTATTATAATTTTGTTTAATTTAATAATTATTGTATGTAGATTGATTATTATTAATTTTAAGCTCTTAAATTTGAATGTTCTTCTTGTAATCTAACATTATCTTCTTTTAAAAGTTTATTCTGTTAGTCTAATAATGTAATTTAAGCTTTGGATTGATCTTCCCTAACTGTATTTAGTGATTTGAATACTATTATTTATATTGGCCTCTGGTGTTTTAGATCTTTGATCTTGACTCAAGAAATTAATTGTGTATGATAGTGTAGCATTAGAATCTGGACATTTGGCTAGAGATGAGATTTCGTCAATTTTTCCTTTTTTTTAATTTAGATAGGATGAGAAATCGATTTCAATTTAGCCAGCATTTTTCATACCTTTTTCATATTTAATAAGAATAATCAAGGTTCCCATTTTCTTCTGATATTCTTTTTATTTAACATCGTAATAGAGTGTAGCTGGTAACTTAAGTATTTATTCAATTTTGGCACACTTGTTAATTAATTAGACAGGTTATGTTTAAGCTTTTCTATCACCCCTTTAGAATACTATCATAACTTCACAGTTTGGAACAGATATGTTAATATTGAGTTGATGAATATTGACTTCAATTAAGGCTTTATTTTCTGATGTACCCGCATGTTTAAACATTATTAATAATTTTAATAAAATATATAATTATTTAAATTCAATTGATAATTAATAAGCCAATTAATATGATATTAGATATAAATCCATATATATCTACAGTATCATTGGTATTATTGGTATTATTGGTATTATTTGTTTTATTGATATTACTATCTGGAGGAAGAGGATTTAAAGGATTAAAATAACAAGATTTACATATATTATTTTAATTTATAAAATATCCTAATGATTTAGTGTAACAGTCAGTAACATTATATTTATTAGGAGTAGTTTCTGTACATTTACTATTTTTATAATCAAAAACGCAATAGGTAAGTATGGTCTTACTATAATCATAAAATGGTCTACATGGATTTTAAAGTCCATAATTTTCACAAATGAATTCTTAACATGATTTAGAAGTACTATTATAATAGCAACGTTTTGGATCACAGTATTCTTATAGATTTGTATCAGTGCATGATTTCATTAATAAACATTTAGAGTTTTTAAAGAGGCATTATCCATCAGTTCCTATGGTGCATTCCTTTTCTGTAATGTAATTTTGACATTATTAAAAGAGTTGACATTATTTATTAATAAATTAACAATGGGATAAATTTTTGCATTAAGTATCTGTAAGAACACTTGAGCAATCAAATAGAGTGCATGAGGAATTATTGACAAAACATTTACCTTATTAACTAAACGTTGATCCACAAATATCCATTGGATAATTTGAACAAGTTGTTTCCATTTTAATGCACTTGATTCCATTAGTTGTACAACTTGATAATTGTTAATAACATTTTAAATGATCAGTTCCATAAAGATCTTCACATCTAGGATTTATACATTACCCATCGATCCATAAGCATGTGGCTAATTAAATGATTAAACCATTTTTCTTAATAATCCCATTTACATTAAGTTAACAATTTTCTTAAATGATATATTTGGAACATTCTTAAAGTACGATACATTAATTTAATCCATTAGTAGTACAACTTTAATTAATGGAGTTACATTCTTAATGAGTTTTAAATAAGTAATTATCACAAGATGTAAACTTTGAACATTTAGAGTTTTACCAAGCACAATCTCCATCTATTCCTTTAATACAAGATATTTTATCAATATATTCATCGCAAGCAGTAATAGATATACAATGTGTTCCATTTGAAGTGCATTAATTTTATAAATTATCATAGCATTCTAAATGTGTTTTTAATTATATTGATTAACAATTTTAATAAGCTTAACAACGACCATTCAAAAATAAACAATTACCTTCAATCCCAATGAAACAATTCTACTATGATAATTATGAACAATATCTCATTTCAATACAAGTATTACCATCAGTAATACAATTTAATTGTTTTGATTGACATTCTAAAATATTTCCACTCTTAAAATCTGTACATACTTTTTATCTACAAATTTCATTCTCCCAAATGCATTAAAACAATTTACTTTCATCACATTATCCTTATATTGTGTAATCTGAACAACTAGTTATGATTAAACATCCTCCTCCATACTTAGTTACACAATTCTAATTTGGAAAATACTTCTCACAATCTTAAGAATATATCAATTCATTTGGAGCATCCGAACATTATAAATAATTGCATTAATTCTTTCCAGAATTCCAACCACAATATCTATTATTTATATCAATGTTGCAAGCTTATTCATATTAGTTTTATTCACATGTTCCTCTCTATATACAAAAACGACCATTAGATGTACATTTTGGATTATACCTTCTACAATCTTCATCATTATAAAATTAATAATCTTCACAAACTTTCTCTCTACATGGATATTATATATCTATACAAGTCGGATGATAGTCAGAACACTTTACATTTTCTTCTATCTCATCTTTACAAGTTTTGTAATTACATTCTTAATACAATTAATTCCAAACACAATCCTCATTATTAAATGTCTTTATACATTGTTCTTCAATCAAATACTTTCTACAATTTGTCTTCATTTCCATACATCCATTCTTTGTATCATTTATAGTACATTATAATTTACTATATTTTCCATAGCATTCACTATGAGAATAATTATCTAACACTATGTTGTAACATTCAGCCTTCTAACATTTTTCTTCTTCCCATAAACATTCATATTAATCTAATTATTTATAACACTAATTTTCCTTTTTATATTTATCACAAGAAATTCTTAAATCTTCACATCCATTTTCTGAATTATTTATATTACAAGTTAAATCAGTATAAAATGATAAACATTGTGTTTTTTGTTCGTTTGGATCAAAAATAATCTCTGAACATTTTTTTTCTATACATCCTTTAGATTCTGTCCAAAAACATTTTTTTGATTTATCATTAATATTGCATTAAATTTAACTTTTATAATCAGTACAATTAGGTAATAAATTAGTGCAACCTCCTGGATAAGCTACAGTACATTCTAATTTATATGAATTGCATTATGCATGTGTAAAATTCTCTGTAATATCAGAACATTATTTTTCTAAACACTTATCATCTTTGTATACACATCTAGAATCATCTTCACATTCTATTTGTGAAACAATATAATCAGTACAACTTGCTTTTAATTTAATACATTTATCAGGCGAACCAAATTTAATTACACATTTAGAATCTAAACTCGAGCATTTTTAACCTACTGGTACTAATGAAGCACAAATATCTTCACATTAATTAGATACATCATTCCATTTACAAAATGTTCCTGATATATCTTTATTACCTGAACAATCTTATGTATTTAATGAACTGCATTCAGTAGTTATAACCTTACAAAAATTATCATTTGTCCAATAACAATTTGTTTATGAAATACAATTAATTTTGCTTACATAAAATGGGCATCCATTTGATTAAATTGTTGTTTTTAATTTGCAAGCATTATCAGTATCTTTCATACACATAACAAAATAATCCTCACATATTTCATTTGTGTATCCAACATTTGTTGCTATTCCTTAATCATCACATTTCTTATCTCTCACACATAAAGTAGTATCATTCTCATAAGATGTCCAACCATCTTAACAATTAGTTTCTTTCCTTTTTAAGTTTTTAGACCAATCTATACAATTTAAAAATACCCATCGACATTTTTAATTATTAATATCTTTAGCATCTTCACATTAAAATTCATTTTTAATATCTTTACAATTATTAACTCTATCAATACAACTATTTGGAATTAATCCTGGACCTCTCATACATTTTTTACCTGTAATATAAGCTTCACAATTAGATTATGTGATATCCCCTTTATAATCTTTACATTATTTATCCCTACATATTCCATTAGAAAATATGCATTTACTTCCAAAACATTAATCTTAATTTAATAACCCACAATCATTTGGAGTGATAATACAACCTGTTATTCTATCTAAGACAGTGCATTATGATTAATAAGAATTACATTCTTAATGAGTATTAAACTTATAAGTTTTTTCAACAAGATTACAAGTTATATCTTGGCATTCATTTTTTGACCAAAAACAAGGAAATTTTGAAGAAGTAATATTACATGATTATTCTAAAGTGTATTATTTACATGTTGATTTTAGTTAAATACATTTATTACCATCAGTTGTGCAATTTTATAAATAATTATTACATTCAAAATGTGTCTTATAATTTAAATATTCACATTAACTATTCATACATTAATTTTAGTGCCAAGTACATTTACTCTAAAGAGATTGATAACATTGAACCTATCTATCATATTCATTACATGAATATTTGATCATCATACATCCTATTCCTGAATCATTTAATGTACAATTTGATAAATAATTCCAACAATCCTCGTGGGAAATATACTTAATGTTTTTTCCAGCTGTCTCACAAGTTTTTATATCACATTTATTTTACCAATTGCATTCTTTAGATTAAGTGCAGGTTGTTTGATTTTATTAAGCATAACATCCCTCTTTTATACATTATTAGGTTTAATTATTATAAACACAATCGGATTAGAAATTCTTACATTAATCTTTATTCTTAAATGCAGCAGGTGCCCATTAACATTATTTTAATACACATTAATATCCATTCCAATAACAAAAATCCCCTCTCTTATTGAAAGAACATCCAGCTTTGTTATTTGCAGCTTCACATTCTCCATTTAACTTACAGCCACCTCCAAATTTAGTAATACATTAAGGATCAATCTCTTAACATTATTAATTTGTTTATCTTGTTGTACTTGCATTCTCACATGATTTAATACTACATGTGTTATTTTCCCACATACATTAAATATTATTTTTATTATAAGTACAAGATTTCTCAACCTTATAATCATTACATTCTAATCTATCAATGCATTTTGAATCCTAATCTATTGAACATCCATTTTTTATACAATCTTTTGTAATATACTTACAAATAAAATCATTACATTATTTCCCATCCCAATAACAATTAATATTTCCCTTTTTATTTGTAACACATTGCTGTTCTAATTTATGATCTTTACATTATTCTCCTGAATCTTCACAACCTCCTCCTTATTTGAATGTACACCAACTTAATTAACTTCTACATTCTGCATCATTTTTTAAGCTAAAGGACAATTCATTGCAGCTTTATGCATTTCTACATTCCTATTTGTCCCAATAACAAAATCCTTTCCATTCATAATTAATATAATTATTTCGACAAGAGAATCTCGTTTTATAATTTGCACAAATACTTTTCTCAACACATTTTGAACCATCTGTTATGCAAAGTTGTGAATATTTTTAACATTCAAAATTTGTGTTTTATTTAATAGCCGTGCATCCAGTGAAAGGAACACATATTCCTTAATAATTAGCACAACCAATCTTCTTATTACAATTATCATTCTAATATTTACAATAGCTTGTTCTTAATAAGGGAAGATTTGAATCCCTGCACGTACCTTCAACATAATTCCATTCACAATCTATATTACACTCCTCAATTGTTTAAATTTTGGAACATATGCATTTGTTCTTCACATCAACCCTTTCACTTTGCACACCTGAAAAAGAAATTGAATACAATAACAATAAAACGAATTTCATTATTTTTAAAATTAGAATAAATACATTTATTTAATAAACCTCGAAAATTGATTCAATAAATAATTAATAAATACTTAAGTCATATTTGAATTATTGAAATCTTTACTAAATTTTAGAATCTTGTACCTTTCTTAAAAGCAATATTTAATTACTATAAATGGTTTTTGAACAAAATTAATTAGGATTTGTCGACTTTTATTATTTATTAACATTGAATAAAAAATGGAAAAAAATAGATGAAGTTGAGTTTTTATTAAATAAGAGTCCTTAAAATAGAAGCAAAGCTGAAATAGATTTGCTAGTACAATTAGCATCATAGTTAATTTTTTTTATAAAGTATATGAAATAAGAAAATGTTTAATAAATTCAATATAAATTTGCCATATGAATATTCTCTTGTTTGTAATACAAGGATATGCTTATAAGATTAATAGAACATCCTTAGTTGAAAGAATGTTTGAATAATAAGGAGATAATCTAAAGCTTCATAGAATTGAATTGTTATAATTAGCAAAGTTAAAAACTGAAACTGATCTCAAAACTTCAAGCATTTATCCATAATATTATTGCAAAAGATTTAAAACAGAAGTTCCTGAAGTTAATTCACAAGAAATAATACCTTAATCAATGACAACAGCTAAAAAAAATCTTTTATATTATTAAAATAAAAAGAAATAAAGAAAGAATCAAATAAAATAATAAATGGATTTAATGTCTTAAAATTTAGAAAATAACCAACCAAAGTATCATATGAGGTATTGTCTCATACTTAATCTGAGCTCTTTCTTAAAACTCATAGATGCTATAATTTAGTATAATATTCAGAATAATATATGTTGTAATCACAATAAACCTAACGATAATAATTATTGAACTTAAAATAGTAATAAATAAGTTATAAAAATTTACATATTTGATCGGATAATTATTTATGTTAGGATTTAATCTATGTAGTAAAAGATTGGATAAAATATAAAATTAATTAATTATTATCAAAGATTCTATTTTCAAAAGCTACCTAAAACATAAGTTTTAATTTTATTGAATAAAAATTTTTAGTTCAAATGATGAAAATTACATTGCTGTTCTAATTGAATAAATTTGCAAAATTTTTTAAATTCTAGGGGAAATGAAACATATGAGAAATTAGAAATTGAAAAAAGCAAGATTAAATTGCTAAGAATTTAGAAGAAAATGAAAACATATTATATTCTTTAATTAGCTATTAAATCTTTTTAAATAAATATTTTAAAATTGATACTAAAAAATTAAATTCAAATTAGTATTTAATTAATAACGTATTTAAACTGTAAAATTATCTTTAAAATCCTTTAAAATAACTTATAAACCAGATATTAAATAGATTATATCCAATTATTAACATTAAGAGTTCAATTTTTGGAAAACAGCAATCTAAACAATTAGATTTATTAATTCTAATTTTTAGTTAAAGAATATCTAAAAGAATATTGAAAGCATACATTTTTATTAAATTTTCTAATTCTTTTAAAAAGGTTCACACTTAGCTGATTATTATGAACTTATTGGGAATCTAAATTATGAACAGAAAAACCTTAAAAATAGTAAGAATTCTTTAATAGAATACATCAGCAAAGAAGATTAACTTAACCTAAAATTGAAAAGAAATTAAAATAAATAAAGTGATTTTAATATGTTCATTATTAAATTTGTTATCAACTAAAAAATTAAATAATGAAATTAATAAAGATTCTAATAATGTAATTTAGATAACTTAAGATTTATTAAATATTAATTAAAACACTCATTTTAAGCAATTGAAGCATCCTTCACATCTACATTAATGTGAACATTATAAATTATTTTGAAAGCATTCACAATATTTTTTTTAACACCCTGATTTTTTGCAATTGCATCCTTTAAAGGCTTATTTGAATGCCCCTGGATCTCTTGCTTAAATGGATATTTTAGCTTCTTTTCTTTATAAAGTATTGAGAGAATTATTAAAACATCCGACACAATTACAATTTTCAGAGCAAACTTATCCGTTAGCAAAGCAATCACAATACTATTTTAAACATTAAGACTTCTTGCAATTACAAGATCTGAAATAAAAAATATATTTACTTTGTACTTGTAAGAATTTTAGGGAGATTTTGAGGTGGAAATATAATTTTAATTGGTCTATGAATATTCTTAACTTCTAACTAGATTTGAGTTTCTACAGTCTCTTCTTCCATTTCTATTTTGTTAGAAGGGCATAAGATCCTATATTGGTGATAATTGAATACCTGAATGACGAGTCTTTACTAATTTAAAAGGATCTCATTTAGATTTAAAATTTGAATTATTTATAATTCGTTAAAAATTTATTTATATAAATCTGAATAAGAACCTACTTATAAATATTAAAATTAATGATATCAAATAGAGATGCCCTTGTAGCTCAGTTGGTTAGAGCGCGAGTCTCATAATCTCGAGGTCGTGGGATCGACCCCCACCAAAGGCATATTTTTTTTTAATAAAACATTATAAATTATTTAAATATATATTCATTCAATAATAAATATATTGAAATGAGGCTATTCATCTTTATTATTAATAACAGCTATATGATTCTTTCCTATTTAAATCATTTTTGGATTGGTATTATAATTATTAATAATAATTTTATGATCTCGATAAACTTCAATTTCTTAATTATTTAACCATAATCTAATAGTAGAATCACTAGCACCTAATCCCAATAGATAATCAGAACAAATTATATCACAAATACCAAATTACGATGTATTTAACTTGATTTTTATTTCTCCATTCATCCAATCTACCACTGAAACTTTATTAGAAGTTCCTCCAAAAATGATTGATCTTTCAGAATATTTTTTAACACATAAAACAGCCCCTTCAGTTTTTATATCTCTTAAGTAAGATGCAGAGACTATTTCTTCTCCTTCAAAATATAATTGCCAAATAGCTAAAGTTCTATCCCAAGAACCAGTTACAACAATATCTCTTTTTACTAGTTATAAACATGAAACCATTGCTGTATGTTTTTTTAAAGCACAAAGAGATTTACCTGAAGTGACATTCCATATGATTGCCAAATTATCATAACTACCACTTAAAATACTATGATTATCTGATAATTCAATCAAAGATGTGATTCCAGATTAATGTCCTGTTAATTTATTAATCTATTTTCTAGTTGACAAAGACCAAATAATAATTGAGGAATCAAGATTTCCTCCTCCAGAAATCAATAACTTTTCTTAAAACATGCAAAGAGCTGTAACTTAATCAACATGACCTTCTAAACTATAACTTTATTGAGGAACCTCTAAATTGTTAATTCTTATAGTTTTATCTCTACTTCCAGAAGCAATAGTTCTTTAATCCACTTATAATAAACTAGTAACACCTCTCATTTAAGTAGTTTCAACAGATCTATAAAATTTGATCTTAGATGAGCTAGATATTCGACTCTATTAGCTAGATTAAAATTTCAATGCTTATGAATTATTGTTTTCAATCCCCGCATTATAAACAGGAGAATTTGGTTAAACAGTTTCAAATAGTTTTGGACTATCATATTATCTTTACGTTTTTGTTAATTTATGATCAGAATTTTAATTCTTGACATCACTAAGAACTAAAATAGTGTTATGAATTAATAATACTGTTTAGAGATTCATCAGGATTTTAATATTGAGTATTTCTTGAAAGTATTAAATCTTTCAAATTGATTTATGCTGTAAATTCATCCATAAGTACTTCACATTATTACTTAATTGAATTCATAATTTCTACAAAGTTTTGTTCCTGTTAAAATGTTGGATTTTCTGGATCAGCCTATGGAGTTTCAGCCCATTATTTTTCTAATTCCTCAACAAGGTCATTTTAAATTTAAAATTCTTAATATGTATCAATAAAAGCTAAGTTTTTAGCTAAGTCTTCTGGTGGTAGTAATTTAATTTTTAATTCAGTCACATATGTATTACATTCCTTATTTTATTTAGACAATTCTTTTAATGTATTTAACATTTCTTCTTTTGTTGGAAGTGGAACTAAACCATACCTGTGTTCAATAGATTATACTATAAAATTTAACGAATTTTAATATTAAATGAATCTTTCATCATAGTGTTCATAGAGTTAAGATTTAACTTTTTCTAATAATTATGTTAACAGATTTGTTGTATCTGCTATAATATAATCAACCCAACATTTTCTGTTATTGATCTATGATTCATATCTAGCTATAAAATCTTGTTTAGTTTATAATAACTTCAAATGTCCTTCCATAGCTAATTATTAATCTTTTTTTCTCTTTTCCAATACATTTCTGAACTCTTCATCTAGTCTAGTAGTGAAATTATCAAAATCAATCTAAATTTGAAATTCAAAAATACCATAACATCTCTATGATTTCTAGCATGATCAGCTTCATCAATCATACATTCCCAACATAATGTTGGATCTCTTTTGCAAGATGAGCTAGCACATATTCTTTCCACAAAAGAATTTGGATGATACTTGCAAGGAATTTTAAGCATATAAAATATAACTATAAATTAATAATAGTAATCGATTGATAAATTTAGTATATAAATAACATTATTTTGTAAATAGCATAAAATATATGTGTGGTTTAAAATCAATCTAATTTGCATATACGCCAATCCTTCTCAGAACTATCTGATTCTCTTCTCTCTAAAACTTTATATTTTATAACATCTTTCTTTTTTTCTGGATCAATAAAATTAAATTTAACAGTTATTTAATGCCATGTTTATGATGACTGTAATGCCATTTTTTTTTGAATATAATCTTGCTTAAACCAATTGAACATCAGTCAATTCTTTATATAATTTAAATGGCAGAGCCTTATTATCTTTGAGACTTACTTTAACAATCTAGTATTCAAACATCACAATACATCTAATAATGGTACAGATAATAATCTTATCAAATCTACCTTATCCTTTCTATTGTAAGCTTCTAAAAATTCAAAATATCTATTTTTTGCAAATAATGGAAACTAGCTTCTTTTAAAATCTAATGAATTTAAATTTCTAATATCAATAAAACATTATTCTGTTTGATTCAATGCTAATTTTGTTTTGAAAGAATTTTTTAAATAAGCGAATATACCAGATCCTTGAGACTCATATAAATCAACAATCATTGGAGATGATATTTTAGAAGATATTCTTTCAGCTTCCTTTACAACTTTCTTCATTAAACAATATTATTTTGGATATTTATTAATATGACTTCTTTTTCTTGTTTTTTTTAATTTCTAAATTATCTAACATTATGGCAAAAATAACAATTAGATTCTCAACATTATTTAAGAAAAATGTTTAGCCATTTAATAATATTAGTTTATTTTTATTTGATAACGTTAATGTTACTTCCAATCCTTTAGCTGTAGACTACTTTAACAATGGTTTATTCTTAATCTTAAAACTGTTAACCTCCAAAAAAATGACCATTTCATTTATGCATTACACTCTAAACATGGATTAGATATGTCACAACTATAAAATAATACAGTCCAGATAAACTATAACCCTATAAAATTTTCCTTACTCATATCCTAATTTAATTAGTGGATCAGTAATACTAGTAGAATCTTAACTCAGATTAAAAGTTGGTTCTACTTTGTCTTTAAAACTACCAAATATATTGTATCCTATATCGGTAGCTAAAATAGAGCTTACAATTTTTCGTTTAAATTCTTATTATTGTAAATTAGGTAATTAAGTTTAAAAAACTTAATTCCTAATTTTAAAATAATATATTGAAATAAAGTTAAAACATAAATACACTCTAGAATTGCTTGTTCACATATATATCTATTTAGTTTTTTTGATTTCTTGATCTTATATAAATTATTAAATCCCTCTTAATTATATATTTCATTTTTTTACTATGTTTTAGAGCATGAATTAAGCTTACCATTAATGCTGCAAAATATCAAATTTTTAGAAACAAATAGTTTAAGTTCAGATTTATCATACTCAAAAAATAATAACTAAATTTACCAATCTCTCATACTTAAAATAAAGCAAACTCATGAGTAAAATTATGATAAGAAACAACATTGTAGTTATTAATTTAAGTCAAAAGATTCTCTGAATTTATAACCTTACATACATAATAAATGCATTACTTCTAAATATAAGAATATCACCATAGAAGCCTTTAACCTCTCCTTGCTATTATAATGGAGATGATTAAAATTTATATTTATCAAGTTTTATATAACATATTTCTTTACTTAAAATTGTTAACTTTTTACTCCAAAGGCTCCTAAAATTTTAGATATTGTCTCATATCCCTCCCAAGGTTTTTTTCTATTTTATACCAATTACTAATTTAACCCTATTTTAGTGTAACAAAATATTTTTTCCCTCTTCCGATTCATAAGCTCCTGAATTTTCTTTTGTTATTGGAAGTTCGTCAGATATTTTTGATTGATATGAGTATGGATTCATTTATTACAATATTATTTAATTTAAATGAATTATATATATTTCATATATTAATAATTTGATAAAATAACATTATACTATTTTAAAGTATTGATTTATTAATTTTATAACTTGAAATTTATTTTTGTTAAAATGTATATCCCAAAGAATTATCCAATCCAGATATTTATTAAATCCATGCATATTTTTTGCATATCCGAATGATATAATTGAAATAATTAAATAAAATAAATGCCTGAGTATTTGAATTAATATTTAAAATTTTCTGAAGATTAATTTAAGTTTTTAAATAATTTTTAAATGATTGCATCGATTTCTGTAGTGTAGATATTTATATTTTTTGATAAAATTATAAATTATTAAATAGACAACAAATAAAGTTACCAAAAATCAAATAATTTTAATTAACAGATTATCTTAATACTATAAACAAGGTGTGAATTTAAGTTCTCTATAAAAATTTTTTGATATTCTTAAGAAAATTTTTGAAATTAGCATTTTTAAACGTTACTGATGAGTAAATCATAAAATTATGTTTTGGCTTATTAGTTTGAATTTTGATATTATCTTAACAAATCAGCATTGTAATAAAGCCCATATACATAATTCAGAATATTAAAAAAGAAGAAACACTAAATAGTGATGCTATATTTTTCTCCCATCCAATTCAATTTATTATCTTAAGAATAAGCTGCTGTATAACATTATATTAAAATTTGAAGTGGCAATAAAATTAATCCATATATAATTTATCTATGCTTTTTAAAACTGATAAATTCATACTTATCTAAATTTACCAACCATTAAATAACAGAATTAGTATATTAATAAAGTTGAAATATAGTGAAAAAGCACTCTTCATTTGATTTAAGTAAAAAGCTATTCATTTTCGTTTCCAGAAATTCAATTTCATAAAACTCTATTAAGATACTGTGTTCTTATTAGGCTTGAATGATTATTGCAATAGGCTCTTAAAGCAAATTTTTTTTTTAATTATATATATCAAACAAAAACAAAAAAATCTGTCAGTTTTGAATTTATATTGATAAACATTTTTTAATAACAATAGATGTGGATAATTCTTCAATGTTTATATAGGAGGAATTTATATCAAATTATTAGTTCATATTAGAATATGATACAAATATCATGTTAATTTCCTAGTTTATTTTTATGACTTTAATTTAGATTGGAATAACTTAAGTTAGACAAATGTATAAAGGTGAGAGGATTAGATTGATTGGATATAATTTGGATTTTGATTTGGTTCCCTCCTTTTTGAATGAACTACTAAATGAAATTGTTAATTAAAAAGATAATTTATTATATCTTTAAGATTAACAATTTTTTTTCATTTTTTTTGATAATTATATAGTAAATAAATTATTTAAACAAAATGTAAAGGCTTAACAATCAATCCAGATAAATACAATACGATATTGTAAATTAAATAAGTTAAAATTAGAGTTAGAGAAATTTAAATGAAAATCTAAATTATGAAGATAATATAGAAAATAAAGCAATCAAGAGAGTATTCAAAATTGAATAATTAAAATTTTTAAAATTGTGTTAAAAAGATAGACGATTATATAATGAAAAATAAGGACAAAAAGTAGAGATGGTTGAGGAGAGGTTTATATATGTGATTGGTTTGCTATATAAGTATTAATATTGGTTATTTATATAAAAATACGGTACTTAATGATAATCTGTAATTAATTAGTTCATATATTCGTTTTTTAATAATTATTAAAACAAAAATGAAATTAATCGTATTGATTGTGCTGATAGGAGCAGCTGTAGCAAGAGATGAATATTTCTTTGCTTAATTGAGAGATTCTGAATTTGGAAAAACAATTATATAGACATTACAAGTATAATTGCTTTAAGAGCATCCTGCTGATACAGTTGTTCATCTGTTAAAACAAATGAAAGATGATCTCCTTAATGAACAGAGAGCTGAAGATGAAGATGTGTAAGGCGCATTATAAAGTTGCTAAACAGCTTCTTAAGCAGCAGCTGAAGTAATAACAGTTGCTAAGGAAAGAAAAGCAACAGCAGAAGAAAGATTACCTCTATTGTAATAAGAATAAAATGATAAGAAATAATAATTGTTAGATAAATAAGGAGAAGAGTAAAGAAACTTAGATAGAGTTAGTGTATTGCAAGAGGCTCGTAATGTTTAAAGAGTAAATATAATTTAATTAATGTTTAGGGTGAATATGAATAAAGAAGAGATGAATTAGTAGGATTGATTTCTGCCTTATAAGAAGCTAAATAAATATTATCATAAGGAATTACAGCTTTGAAGAAAACAAGCTTTGCTGAATTAAAGAGTCATCATTAAAACTTTTTGAAATATTATCCCCACAAAAAAGGATTCCACACAATGGTTAATATGTTATTAGAAGTGTTGTAAGATGAAGGAACATAAGAGAATGCAGCTTAAAAAGTAGTCAAAATTATTGATACTCTTGTTGATAGCATTTTCTAAGTATAAAAAGAAGAAATGAAAGCAGATGATGGAAGAGAATTAGATTTTTAAACATAAAAAGAAAGATTACTTTTAGCAAATAGAAGATTAGCTGGTAGTATTGCAGATTTGAATGCTCGTTATGAAGTATTGGGATAAAAGATCTTGGAAGTTAGAAATGATGTTGGTACTTAAGATGCTGTAATAATATTATATGATTTTTAGGTTATTAACAATAAATAAACTGAAAAGGGAGATTGGGATCAAACTTGCAATGATACTGAGAAAGCTCATAGATAATAAACGGATGCAAGGTAATAATAAATTATATTTTATTTAATAGAAATGTTTAACTTGAGATTATTGTTGAATGCATTGATATCTTTGAAACAAGATTCGACATGGAAACTAAAAGCTATATTCAACGCTTAAGATTCTGACAAATATTAATACCAATAAATAAAAACGGATTCTAATATATAAATATATGAAAATTTCGATTTTATTGTCTCTCCTCGTTTTAGGGTGTTTATCAATGGACTTCGATTAATAGATTGAAGAGTTGTAAAACTCTAATTTTGGATAAACAATTCTTTAAACAATAATGATGGAGCTCTAAACTGAAGATCCAGTTGTGTCTAATCTTATTAATATGGTATAAGGAATTGAAACAACTCTTGAAAATGAATAGTAAAGGGATGATGATCGTATTGTTAGAATAAGATAAAATTGTGACATTGATATCACAACACTCAAAAATTAAATTAATCAAAATACTATTGCATCACTTGGTCTCAAGAGTCAACTCGATTCCTTAAATCCCTAAAAGGTCTAGGCTGTAGCAAGTTTGGAAAGAAAAAACAATGAAATTACTGAATTAAAGGCTGAGTTACAATATTAATCTCACAAGAGGGAAACTGAGACTTAGGCATATGAAACTATTTTAGATAATTTAGAATAAGCTTTATTTGGAGTTAATTAAGTGAAAGGATACTTCAATAGTTACTTAGATATTCTTGTTAAGAATAGAAAAAGATTTGAAAAACCATCATTTTTAGAAGAGTCTTATAGTTTCAAATATGAAGAATCTGAATAAGATGATTCGGAATCAAGAGCATTTACATCTTTATCATAAGTAGCTTAAAAAGTCAATAAAATTAAGCATCATGTATATAAATAAATTATATATTTATAGGTTTAATTAGAAGGATATGCCACTATGCTCGAAATAATGAGTGAATTGGCATCTAAAGCAGCTGATGAACCTTCATAAGCTGAAGTCTTAACAAGAAAAGTTCTATCAATATTGAAATAAATAGAAAACTACATTCAATCAGAAAGAATTAGAGAAGATTAAGCTGAAGCTCTTAGATCTAGTAATTTTGATCTTTTAAAGACTCTTTTATCTGATCAACTTGTTTAGGCTAATTAAGATAAGACTTATATGGAAGGTATTAAATAGTTTTTAATAATTTTAGGTTTGGTTGCATCATTATCAAATAGAATTACCTAGGGAACGAATGAAAAATTTGAAGTAGATTAAAAAGTGGCAATTAAAACAAAAGAATTAGAAAATAGATAAACTGATTGTAGACTTAAAAACAATGAATATGAAAGTGATACTTAAAATAGGTATATAGAATTATATAAATTAGAATCAAATAAAAAAGAGTGGTTGTTGTTGCAGTAGATTTAATTTCATCCAAATTAGGCTAGCTTAAGCGTAAATTGCTTGAAAATTGAATTATTATAAAATAGTGACATAATTAATTAAGAATAAATTTTTTCTAATTATGTAATCTAAAGATGAATACATAAGTTTACCAAAAGTATCAGCTAGCAACAATATTAATCAAGCAATTGATTTGCATTGGAGAAATATTACAGTAACAGTTTCTACGGTATAAATCCTGTATTAATGATTAAAGAGAAATACTTAAAAGAGACCAAAAGTGACAGATCCTTTGTTAGATTAAAAAGATGGGAAAATAATTTTGAATGATGTTTCAGGATATGCAAAAGCAGGATAAATGACAGCAATAATGGGACCATCTGGTGCAGGTAAAACAACTTTGGTTGCTTTATTGAGCAAAAGATATAAACCAGGGCCAAATACAAATATAAGTGGAGATATTCTAGCAAATAATTGTAAATACAAAAGATTTAATGATTTTGGGGCATTTGTAATTTAAGATGATTTATTAATGGCCACGATGACTGTAAAAGGTATTAGATGTAAATGATTTTAGAAACACTTATGTTTGCAGCTAATATGAGATTAAAAGATAATTTAGCATTAAAATTGGCTAGAGTTGATTAAATCATCAAAGATTTAAATTTAAGAAGTTGTTAAAATACTTTGGTTGGAGATAATATCATAAAAGGAATATCTGGAGGAGAAAAAAAAAGAACGTCTATTGGGATGGAATTAATAAGTGATCCTCCAGTTTTGATATTGGATGAACCAACTTCAGGTTTAGATTCTTTTACTGCATTTATTTGTATGAATATACTTAAAAAGATCACAATTAAGTATTTTAATTTTAATAAAATTAAGTTAAAAAAGGACAGTCATTTTTACAATACATTAGCCAAGTGTTGATATTTGTTAATTATTTGATAGATTAATCATCTTAAATAATGGAGAAACTATCTATTAAGGAGATTATAGTTTACTTTTGAATTATTGTAGATAAGTAAATTTAGATATAGATATTCATTCAACACCTTTAGATTCAATAATGAATAATCTTAATGAAAATTTTAATTTGGGTGTTAATAAGGTCACTAATGAAAATTATAGATTATATTTAGAATAAGATGTAGAGAAATTCTAATCTGAATATAATGAATATTAAAAAAGAAGAACTTAAACATCTTTTTGTTAAGAAATGAAATATCTAATGAAAAGATAATTTACTAATTATGTTAGAAGTCCTAATCTATTAAGAAGTAAAATATTTGGATCAGTCTTTATGTTATTATTTTTGGGATGGCTCTATTGGTAAGTAGGCAAAGATTAACCTTCTCAAGATGAAAATGTAAATATAGATGTTCTAAGCAAATATTTAAATAATATGAGAGGAGCCTGTTTTGTTTGTGGAACTTCAGCAATATTTTCTGCTTTAGGACCATTATTAATGTTATGTATAAATATTATTATACTTTAGTTCCTGTTGAAAGAAATATTTTTTTAAAAGAAGAGAACTCAAAAATGTATAGAGTATCTTCATACTTTTTGAGTAAAGTTTGTTTAGAGGTTCCTATGAATGTAACAATTTAAATTCTATTTTCAATTGCATTATATGCTACGTTTGGTTTTATTTGGTAACTTGAAAATGTGATACTCTTTACTGTTATTAGTGTTTCAGTTTCATTAAGCGGAAATGGATTAGGAATGTATGGATTTTAATGTTATAATTAGATTTACTGGATGTTTATTTAAAGATGCTAAACAATCTGCTTCATTAGGTCCAATACTCTTGATTCCACTTTAAGTATTTAGTGGATAATATGCAAATTTAGCTTCTATTCCTAAATTTATTAGTTGGGTTCAATATATATCAGTATAATATTCATTATTAAATAGCCATTTAAATACTTTTTAGAAGGATTTGGAAGGACTTAATTAAATGATGTTACTTTTCACTTAGATCCTACAGGAAGAGTTATATCTCCATGGGATTATTATGGAATGCATTTTGGAATGTGGAATTGTGCAATCGTATTAATTTCTATAGCAGTTATGTTTCATGTTTTTGGTGGAGTCTTTTTAAAACTTTTAGTCAATAAAATAAATGTTTGAAATTGAGTAATTTTAATATTTAAATTATCATATGGATCTAATTATATAGATTTGGTTAAAGTATAAAGTGTGATCATTTTATCATAAATATTATATATATATATATATTTATATAATTAAATGAGCAATGCCTTCAAATCAGCAGCTAATAATCTAACTAAAGGTGATCTTGGATAAACAGGATAAAGCTTTGGAGGATCTTAAAACCCTGCTTCTCTTAAAGGAAAATTAATGAGCTTAGAAGTATCAAACTCATTTATAGAAGGAAACAATTAAAGGCATTTAAGATGAAATGAATTTCCATAAAAAAGAGGTCTAAATTTTAAAATCTGAAAAAGATACTCTTGAATCAGTCTTGAGTATGAAAACTTAAGATGTAAAAAAAACTTTAACAAATGAATTAATGAGAATTGAGGAAGAAATGAAAAGGTACTACTATTTAATCATCATTTTAGACATTTTGCTCATTAAAAGGCTGAAAATTCTAGACTATAATAATAAATAACAGCTTTAAAAGGAGAAAAAACTGCATTATAATAATAACTGCTTGGATTATAAAGAAGAATAGCAGAACTTGAATTACAAGTTGGTTAAGAATAAGCATGATTATTATCATATTCATATATATAAATGATCACATACATAGGTCGTTTTTATATGTTCAGCTTATTCTTAGCTTGTAACACCTGTAGTTACTAAAATAGTATCTATTCCACAATTCCATCCAAATTCAATATCTGTTTCAGGATTATCTCCAATCATGACTATCTTAGATTTATCTTCAATATTATTTTGTTTCATTATTATTTCTAGAGCTGTAGATGATGGTTTTCCTATCAGTAGAGATTTTTCTCCTGTTGCTCTCTCTAAAATTGCTTAAATGCATCCTCCTGCTGGCATCAATCGATTCTATACTTTTATATAACTGTCAGGATTAGCAGCAACAAATTTACATCCCTTTTAAATACACAAACTTGCATAACAAAGCATATAGTAATTAAATTATGGATTATGACCAGAAACTACACAATCAATATCTTCATCTGGTTTAATACTATTAAATATGTCATATGTAACATATTGATTATTTTTAAACTCTTCAGAGTCTTTTGTTTTTATTCCCTATGCTGATAATTCTTCTGTTATTCCAATCACTCCTAAATTAAAGGCTTTTTTATAATTATTCATCTTCAAATAAACTGCTGTTAAATATGAACTTGAATATATGTGATTCAAATCTGTTTTTATATCTATACCTGACAATATTTCAAAATAAGATTATCTGCTTTTCGTTGAATTATTTGTCAAAAAATATACTGATTTTCCTTTCTCAATTAAACTCTTTACTCCCTTAACTCCACTTTCTATAAATTATCCACCAGTCCACTTTTTTATTTAAATTATATTTTTACTATCACACCATCCATATCAAAAATAAAATGGTCATATTTGTTAATTATATCTGTCACAGATTTAATTTTAATTGACATTATATTTAAAAATAAAATAAATCATCAATATTAAGATTATTGAGACTTTTCCATATGCTTGATAGTTGCATTAAAGTTTTTTATTGAATTACATATTCCAAACCTATTGCTATTATCATCGTTTACTATTGATCTATCAATTCCTTCAGTTTATAATTTCACCTTCCTATTAGTATCTCTAAACAATTGAGGGGCACAATTTTTATGCACACTTTACTGTAATTATTATTGATTTTGCTGAGAATATTAACTAGACTATATTTATGATGCTTATTCTTTATATTATTTTAATTCTCTTTAACATTAACTAAGATAAATAAATATTTTACATTAATTTTTATTCTAATTTTAATTTCTCTGTAATTTAAAATTCTAATTATTACTAAAATATTTCCTTATCTTTTTACTATTCATTTTCTATTAATTGCAATAATTCTTTATCATTTTGTTCACTCATATAAAATTCTAAATCTTCCTTTAACTATTAAATTTCTTATTCGTATTATTGTTTTTGTTCAATAATTAATTTTTAGAAATGATTTTAAAGATTTTCCATTTCAACCTAATGCTATGCCTTTAATTCTCTAATTTATAGCATAAATTCTTTTTTAAATTGCAACATTTATTATTTGCATTAACAAGATTGCTATTTATTTTTAAATAAATTTTCTTTTTCATTATCAGAGATAAATGATGATTAATCTTCTGATTCTCTAGTTTAATCTAATTCTCTCCTATTTTATTTTTAAAACAGTTTAATGGATTGCCATATTTCTTCCTTTTTCAACATTGTCTGTTATTTTTAATTTAATTAATTCTGCTAACATAAAAATATCACTAAACAAGCTATTTTATATATCCTCATTCTCTATTTATCATTTTAAATAGATATATATCAAAATTTTCTTCTTTAATATGGTTCCCTACTATTTTATAAATTTGTAATTTTCACTTTGGAATGCACTTTCTTTATTTTTTATTGTACTCTTCAAAAGTGTAAAAATTAACATTTTTTACAGTTACTAATTTTTTATTAACAATAAAATGTACAAATATTCAATCCTATAGTTTAATCATAAGAAATACACTCATTAAGTGATTTATTAGAAATAAGTTTTCCTATCAACCAGTAAAATATCATAGCCTAATAAATCATTAGCTGATTTTAAGGATTTTATTCATTAAATCTTAACAGTTTTCAAATGAAACTAGTTTTTTGTTTTTCAAACTTAACCATTAATTTCTTAAATGAATTCCAAATCATTTCTATCGTTCATAATTTATATAGCTCTTTTTAAGAAATTATAAGCTATTTTTCCAAACTGAAATTAGAAGTAATAATAGATTAAATATTAATAAAGTATACAAGATATTCTATATATTTAATGTTTCAAACAATATTTAAAGGAAGAGCCTTAACTTTATATCCTGATCCTTCTTTTACTTTGCCAGCCGAAGAAACTCTTTGCTTATTTTAATTTTAATCTTGGTAAATATAATAGATTCCACCAATAATCATGGTTATAAACAAACCAATGTATAATGATTTTCCATTTTTAAAATCTTCTGCTTTTTATTCTAAAGTTCTCCTATAATATATAAAAATATGGCTACTCTTTCATATCTTCTTTTCTTTCCCAATATGATGTAGTTTCTGTAGGAACATGCAAAACATATTCAGACTTTTCTTTTTTGATATCATAATGCTTTTTATATAAGTCATATGAAATATTCCAAGGACTATCTTCATCTACTTTTCGTTTGAAATAGTCAGGATTTCTGAAATATTGTTTTTCAAAATAATCAGAATATTCAGCTAAAATAGTAAGATTTTAATTTCAAACCTTCATTTTATCTAATATGTTCACTTTTAATATACATCTTCTTATTCTCCAAATGTTGGATTTCCTTAAAATTATTATCCTATAATTCCTGAATATTGTTAATAATAATAGATACCATTTTCTTAATCGTAATATTTTCTTTTTTCTGGATTAGACAATGTTTAATAAGCTTATTAGATTTCTCTGAATTTTTAAGGATCAATTGAGGTTTCTGGATTTGAATCTGGATGATACTTTTTGGCTAATTCAAAAAAAGAAGCCTTAATATCCTCTTAGGAAGCATCAGTTGAAACATTCAATATTTTGTAAAGACATTTAATTTAAGATGAGAATCTGTAGAGAGTTTTAATATATATTTTAATCATAATTTAAAATACTATCCTTAATTCCAAACACCCTTAATTATTTATTTACTTATAATGCATTCATATGTTAATTATCCATGTAACTATCCATTAGCAAATTCTCCAAAAACACAAGAACCATTAATCAATTCTAAAATACCTTCTCCATGAATTTTATCATTTTCAAATGCACCATTATAAACTTTCCAATATTATTTATCTGATATCTAACATGAAGGTATAATTTTATCATATGTTCTTCTTGTATAATATTCAACTCCATTTCCACTTTTTTTTCCAAGTTTCCATTCTCCCTCATATAAGAGAAGTCCTTCTCTGCTTAATGTTCCATTTCCATGCATAGTTCCTTTGAACCATTCTCCATTATACATTGTTCCATCTTCTAAATATGTTGTTATAACTTTTTTTGCTAATTAGCATGATTATTCTTAGACTGCTTTATTCCATAATTATTCAATTTCTGATCCTAAATCACTTCTAGGAGATGGAACAATAACTTTATATATATCTTCTTATTTTTATGGAGTCATTTGATTTGATATTTCAGGAATTTAAATTGGAACTATCTCGGATTCACCATCAGATTAATCTTCTTATTTGAATTTTATTAGGCTTCTCGGCTCATTATTTTCTTTTTCTCCAAATATTCTTGGTTTTCTTCTATTAGGCTATTATTCACTATTTGAATTGTTACTGTTAGATGAAACAATATTACCCATTTAATTAATTTATGTTAAAGTCTAAAGAAAGTAAAGAAGCTGAAATTTATGAATGTTTAAGTAGAGATGGTACATCTTATCTTAAATAATTAAGAATCTTTCATTATAAATGATATAAAAAATCTAGGTCCATGGCATAAATATGGAGGTAGTATACATTAAGAACTTTAAAGAATATCCTAATTACAATTAGGAAAATCGATATCAGAACATCATAATGATAAGATGATTAATTCCACCAGATCAATCTTTAAAATGCAATCAGGTAGAAGGTTTTCATAAGACATTATTAAACAAACATAATTTTCCCTTGATGAAAAATTTGTTAAATCAACATCTATACAACAAGAGTCAAAAAGCAGAACACAATTATTTAAATAGTTTAGATCACCTAAACTTAAAGATAGTTCTCTTATAACTACTAAATAGGAGGAAACTTAGACTATTAATATTAAATAGGAGAAAACTAATGTAGGCTTTTTTGTTTAATGCTATCCAAATAAAAACAAATTTGAAAGATCTAAATTGTTTAATTTTTAAACCTCGAAAGAATACTTTGAAGTAAAATAATATTTATTATTTAAGAGAAAATTGCATTGAAAATGATGTATGGTCTTAATAGAGATTAAATTGTTGATACTAGTAAAACAGCTAATTCAAATCAAATATTTATTAAATAATCAGAATAACAAGGAAGGAATTCATAATCAAGAGGAGCTCCTAAAACAGTAGGCAGAAACTATTTTTATAAGAAAGAACTCAAATTTCATAGCAATAATGTTTCTCAAATAAATCTTAATAAAACAATCAATAACTCTATTAATTCCTTATTAAATCAACCATAAAATATTAGTAAGACAACAATTCCATTTCATAAGATTATTAACAAAAAAACTGTTATTTCATTTGCATCCTAAAATTAATTATTGGAAAAGCAGTATTAGTAATCACAACTTTAATATAATAAAATATAAAGGATGGTTAGCAGTTGAACTGAACGATAATTGTATTAAAATCTTTTGCAAATTATATGTAGATTCCCATTTTAAATTTATTTATATATTGTTATCAAAATGATCTGAAATTCTTATCTATTTTAATGCAAGCATCTTCTAATAATTTAAGTAATGCTTCAGTAGTTGCTTCTCTTTCTCTTCTTTCAAAATTAATATCTTATTGTAATTTGCCATGTACATCTTCAATCATTCTGAATATTTTTCCTTAAGTCTCTTCTCTTACTTTCTTTTCAACCAACAATTAATCTGAAAACTTGTTAATCTCACTATCAATTTATTCAGATAATGATTCAGCTGATTCTTCCCTATTATTATATTACATTAAATATACCGTGATCTTCTTTCTTAATCTAATTAATTTTTAACAACCTAAATTTATTATAAGACCTCAGATATTTTAGCTTAGCTTCTGTCTTCATATTAATGAGTATTTCTAGTGATTGTTAGAGTTATTTATGCAAAACGTTCATCAACTTGCTTCTACAACTTTGTTTCTCCTTGAGCTCTAATATTTCTTTCTTATTCAAATGAGAGTGCAATATTATCTGATAATGTTCTAAAATCTTTCTCTTTTTTATCATCAAACGCCTAAGGAATATGGTTATCTATTATATACTTCTCTATCTGATTTTTGATTATGTGCTTGATCTTATAGTTTTAAGACAGAATCTTTAATGACTTTAAATCTTTATTCATCTTTTGGTTTTTCAGAAGCTAATACATCTTCTATAATTTTGATTCGTTCTTCTAATACTTCCCTTTTTTCTAGTTTATCTTTATCTATTCCATTTTGAATGTGATTCCATTTATCTGATAGCAATTTAATTCGCTATCTCGATGGGGAATCAAGATCCTAACTCAAATAGTTAATGGTTGATCTTTAAGGACTTGATAGTTAGGATTTAGTAAGTTTGGAAGTCGTTAATTTTGATGTCTAAAGAAGCATATAATATTTTTAATTAAATTTATTTACGATTTATCAATAATAACATTACCCCTATAAAATGTTAATAATATATATAATATTAAATGAATCAAAGTTAAACGATTTCTACTCTTAACACTTCCATCTAGAAGGCAAAATCTGATTTCCAACAAATCACAACTTAAAACAGGTATTTACAAAATTTGAACTAGATCTCTCATCTCACAAATGAAAATAGATAATTCTGAATACACTGATTAATTAATCAATTAAAAATAAAAAAATACTGTTGTAGATACATAACTAGCTTTAAGTGTAATCAAGGCATAAGAAGAATGTGCTTTGATTGCTCAAAAAATTGAAATAGAGACTAAAAAGAAGGTATATAATTACATCATTTTTTTAGTAAGATTTAGAAAATCTAGTAAATGCAATGAAAAGTAGTGCAAAAGACATCTCTAAAATAGAAAATGCAAATTCTGGTAGTGAATTGACTCAAGTTTAGAAAGTAATAAACAATTTCAATGTGATAGGCAGTTCGAGATGCAGAATTGAAACTGTAATAGATTCACATTAAGCATAATGAATAATTAGCAGAAGTAGAAGCAGAAAAAGAATAATTGAATCTTAGTAGAAGGGAGAGAGTTATTTATTCAACAGTCTTTAAAGGAATTGAAAAAGATGCTATTTTCAAATAAAGAGAATATTAAAATTGTATAAGATAAAATGAATTGCTCAAAGAAGAGGTAAATTATAAATTAATTAATTATAGTAAAAATTTCTTCAAGATTAATTGAAATTAATAAAAGAATTAGCAGATAAAGAGCAAAACAATTTCTAAAAAGAATATGAAGCTTTATTCAAACCATAAAAGGATGAATAATAAGAATAATAAAGTATAGCTTCAGACTAAAAATCTCAAGCTTAAGGCCCTTATCTAACTGAATAAGGTGATTAATCTAAACCAATTTTGAAAGAAAGAAGTGAATCATAATAAGAATAAAAGGATGTAGCTTAGTAAGTTCTAGAATATGAGGCATAATTTAATAAACTTTATTTAGAAACAGGATTTAACAATGTTGAAGCTATACTAAAATAATACTATAATTAAGAAATTTGGATTGATGAAATCTATAGAGAAATTAATGAAATCAACTAAGAGGTAATTATTATAATATTATCTTTTTAGATAGAATAAACTGAGTAAAAGAATGAAAAAATCTAATAGTATTTACAAAGATTTAAATAAATGGCAAAAGCCCCAATTAAAGAATAAGCAAATTTAGAAGATACAAAAATTGAAAGAATTTCTAGAGGGATTGATCAAAATAAAAAGCAGATAGCTTAAATCTAACAATAATATATGAGGATTTAAGAATAAATAGGTGTTGAAATTATTAATGAAGATGATGATGAAACTACACTTTTACCAAAAATTGAATAATTAGAAAAAATAATAGATAACATATTATTAGTTTCAAATTAATACATTCCAAAATAAGATCAAAAAAAGTAAAAAAAAGGAACAGTCAAATTTGATGATGATAAAAGTGAAATATCTGGTACTAAATAACATACAGAATTAAAATCATAAACTGATCATTAAAATGATTTAGATAATATGTTGACAGAGGGTAAATAAGATTTATTATTTTTTAGTTGAGAAGAAAAAGACATTGGCAGAATCAAGACATACTAAAGAAGAATTATAGAAGGAAAGTGTTGATTAAATGGTGTTAAATTAAAATAAAAAATAAAACTCTAAAAGATCAAAGCATTAACAATCACAATATTGAAAATATGAATTTGCATATATAAATTCTTAAATCATTTCTCTTCCTTCATTACACATAAACCTAATTTCTAAAATTATGGCTAAGGATATTTTTTAAATTACTTAACATATTGTTGTATATGAAGGTCTTTTACTGGGATTAGATTATGATGCTATTTGTTTAATGCAGATGACTAATTCCTGATATTGTGATAGGCAATTTTTTTACTCAATTAATGTTTCCATATTAATTATTATAAATATTTATTTTATATACGTTTTTATTTTCAATATAGAGAAATATGAATGCATCACATACAGAGTTTATAGAAAGCTATATTGATTAAAGCAATAATTACAGTAAAACAAAACAATTTGATAAAACTGTATAAAATAATGGAATACATATGAAATAATAATCAATCTTTAGATACTTAGTTTTATTTTTGTCGATCTGGATAATTATTCCTTCATTTTATTGCTTTGATTAACCAGTTGCAATATATAAAACACTACAATCATTATTTTAAGAAGATTCAACCATAAATTTTGACTTATATTTCGCATCTCTATACATAATCTATGCCTTTGGTAATGCCTTCTTGCCTCTTTTAACAGGTGGAATGAGAGATTGTTATGGAGACAGAATAATTATGACTTATATAGTAGGTGTAAATATTATTAATTAATTTAGCTATTATGATATTGGGACAACTAACTTTTACAATTGGAGTTTATTTTAAATCATTTTTATTAATGATATTTGGTAGATTACTTTTAGGATGGGGTATTGAATCATTGTTACCTTTATGGTCATCTTTTTTGGCTCCTTTTTTTAAGAATAGCATTGTAAGATTAAATTAAGTATATAGTCAATAGTTTTGAGTATTTTACAACTTTTTTCATAAATTGGTTTAGTGCTATCTATCTATTTAACTCCAATCATTTAAAAAAATTACAATTTGATGATATCATTATTAAGTGGTGTAGCTTTTATATTAATTGGTTATATTTTATTGTGCTTAGGCTTTTTAATTGATGAAAAACTAGAAAATGAAAATTACTTATCTTCATATAGACAACTATAACCGAGCAGTGATATAATTTTAACAGAAGATGCTAAAATAATCAATAAGCTTTATTTTTTTAAATTTAAAGATATAAAAATATTTCCTTAAATGTTTTGGCTACTTTTAGCTTTTAATTCAGTGTTCTATTGCTCTATAGTTACACTCGTAAATGTATCAATGTATATAATGGCATCAGTACTATTTGATATCAATAATCAAATTGAAGAACTAGATATTGCATTATTTTGGATGCTAGGATGCTTATCTCTTTTTATTATTGGTCCATTGGTTCAATATTTTACATATAGAAGATACTTAATAATTGTCTCTGTTATCATTATTATTATTGGTCATATTTAATACTTAACTTCACCTCACATAGGCTTAATTATTTTAGCAATAGGCTATTGTTTATCATTCGTTTGCACTTGGAGCGCAATTATTTACATAATTAAATTAAAATCTTTTGGCAAAGCATTTGGTCTAACTGTTGGATTTTAAAATTTAATTTTTGTATCTATGCCTTTCTTATTGGACATCGTTAATAGAAATATTATGGGCACTTTTAAAGTTTTAATATCATTCTCTTTATTTGCTTTAATTTTAGCTATCTAGATTTTAGTTGAAGATATAAGATGCTTCAAGTAAGAACTATATTTAAATTTAGCATCTTAGATAATAAACTAGCTCCTATGTAATTTAAAAAAATCAATAATGCAAGTAATGAAGATAATAATAATGAGACTGATTTATTTGCAGAATATTTAGAGAACCCTTAATGAAAAATAAGCATAATTTTTATTATTAAAAACATTAAAATAATAATAATACTTTTTTAAATTATTTTTTCATGCAAAAAGATTTTAAATTAATATTATTGAATAAATTGTAATAGTGTGTATGTATATTAATGACCTCAAATATTAATATCTTACAATGGTCTAACAATATATTGATTAGATTAACTGACTTAACTTGATTTTGTATTAATAATATTTTCTTTATATAATGATGATTTACGAACTTCAAAACTTGTAGATTCCTAAAAATAACAAATATTATATTACTTTAACTAATGTGGCATTTCCTCTTTGTTTAAATGCATCAAACTCTGCTTAAACCATCATCAAATCTTCTTAAGTTTTATGATAATCTTTATTTAAGACGATGAATTTCTTTTTCCAAGTTTCAACTTCATTTTAATAATAGGTTATTTTTTCTTCAAATTAAACTACCTCATTTGATTAGTTTGACTCATATTCTCTAATTCTTTATTCAAATTCGTTAATTTATTATTATTTTTTTGCTAATTCTTCAATTAATTTATCTAATTTAAATTTAAGTTCTGATTCAGTATCTATTCTGATTTCAAGCTCCTATTTAAGAGCTTTGTTTTCAACTAATAAATGATCTACCTTAAACTAATTTTCAGCATTTTCTGTTTAAAATTCTGTCAATTATTTACTAAGGAATGAATTTTTTTTTGATAATTCCTCTTCTAATTATTATTAATATTTCAAGTCTCCAGTCATACCATCAATTTATTTTGATAAACTTTCAATCACATGATTTTATTCTTCAATAAAACTCTTAAAAGAAAGATTTTCACTCTCAAATCTAAATAATTTCTCTCTTTATTATGTCAAAGCTTCATTCATTTACTATTCTAATCTCTTTTATTGATCTTCAGCTTATAATTAAATTGCTTAAAGTTAAGCTTTTAACGATTAAATTTCTCTTTAGTTTTCATCCTATAATATGCTTTGTTCTTAAATTAAATCATTCTTTTAATTTATTTAAAATAACATTCTTTAAATCTCTGAAGATAACAACGATAATTTCTCTTCATATTCATATATTTTTTTCTCTAAATCTTTAATTTATTACTAAGTTGTTTATTTAAATAAATTAAACTTATCTTATAACTCTTTAAGTTCATTTAACTTTTCATCATAATCCTTTTATAATCTTGATCTTATAGTCTATAATTATATATTAGTTTGATCAAGTTATTCAATTTAAATTCTTAAAGTAGAGTATTCCTCACCAGATTTATATTTTAATGTATTTATTTCATTTGATTATTAAGTAATTTATTATTATAATGAATTTATGAGAAGGTTCAATTCTGTGATAGTTGATTCTAGTTAATTTTTTTTTTATTATAACTAATTGGTTGTTATTAAAGCATCTTCTACTTCTAATTTTAATTTATGATTTTCTTCTTAAAATTTCAATTTATATGTATTATATTCACTATATAATTAAGACTATTAATTTTTTAAATTTGAGATTTCATTTATTTTTTCATCAAGGGTAGATTACAAAATCTAATTAACATTATTTAATTAGTTTAACTCATTTTATAAATCCTCGTTATTAATTCTTAATGAATAATTTTCTTCTTGAAATTTTTTGGAGATTACATTTAGTTCCAATTAATATTAAGATTTATTTGATTCCAGCTCATCATTTTTGGATTATAGTTCAAAGTTAAAGTCTTATTAAATAGAACTTAGTTGTTAATTAAGATCAGATTTAAGCTTATCAATAGTTTTATTTAAGTCTGTTGATTGTTATTTTAATTTTGTAATTTATTCTTATAATTTTGAATTTTCTAATTTAGAAACTTCTAATTCACTCTATAGTAAAGATCTACATTTTTGAATTTCATCAGATTCAGTCTAATAATAGTCAACTTCCTAGTTAGCTGAATCCAATCTAAGCATTAGATTATCAATTTCTTTATATTAAGCTTAGATTGTTGTTTATTATTCTTACAATTTCATTTCTAACAATTGAATATTTCCTCTTAATTACTATAATTATTATTCTTTTTACTCTAAAAGAAAATTATATTATTCAATGGCTTATTTATCTTGATTCAATAAGAAAATATTTCTTTCCTATTGTTATATTGTTTCCAATTATCTATCCAGTTCTGATCTTATAAGAACTACTTAATTGCAAGCTTCTTAGTATTACTTTCTTAATTTAGATGAATTATTTTCTAAATTTTCTATAATATTTTCTTTATTAATTAATTCAGAGTCTAATTCATTTAATTTTTATGTGAGTTACTCAATATAATTATTTTTTTCAATAATAATCATATTTAATCTTTCCATTTCAGTAGTAAGTAAAGCAATTTAATTTTCTAAATTTTCATTGACTGATTATTTTTTTAATTATTAAGTCAAATATTTAACTTAATCATCAGAATGTTAGAATTATGTTTTGTATTAGTTTATTTCTTAAGTAAGATATTAAATTTCTGATTAATGATTAATTTATGATTCTTCATATAATTTTTTTATGTTTTCCATTTCAGTAGAATAAGTATTAGTATGTTATCTTTGACAAATAGATATCTGTTCAATTTCTTATTAGAGTTCATAAATTCTTTAATGTAATTACTAGTTTTCATATGTTAATTATTCTATGTGTTATTCGTGTCCTTAACATCTCTTGTCTGTACAAAGCCTTACTGTTCTAGTTTCAATAACTGGTCTATAAGTAGTGGTTGTAGTTATAGTAGTTTTTGGTCTAGTTTAGTATGTTGTTATTTTTGTAACTCTACTATTGACAGATGAATCAGCTCTTTGATCTCTTATATTAGAGTGTGGGGAACTTATCAATCTTGTTGTAATGGATGATGTAGGAATAAACTTCTAAGTAGGTGATTGTGCTCTCATCTTTCTTGATGTCGTTAAAATTAAATTAATATATAACAGTTAATAATTAATCAAATTCTGCTGAAATAATAAAAATTTTGAGATTCTTTAATCGTATAAATAATATCAGCGTTATTAATTCCTAAAATCTTACTGCTCTCAAAGTTTCTTCACTGAATTTTTACTTAAATTATAATATATTATAATTTTATAATTTTTCAAGGTACATATAAAAGAATCATCTACAATTACTTAAAATTTAATAAGTTAAGACAATAATATTATTCAATTTTTATTACCTCAGAAATACTTCTGTCATTCTATTCTAAAGAGATGTTATAAAATTCATTTTTTTTTTATTCAAAAATTTCTTGTATTTTATTTATTAATAAAGGATTTTTAAGGAATCTCTATTAAAATAAAATAGATTTTGTTTGATTATTTTCAAATAGTTAATACACACTTCTTTTAGTTTTTCCTAATAATTTTATTAATCAGAAATGTTTAAAAATAATTTGATTTTCATACCAAACACATTTTTTTAATTGCAAACTTATAATAATTTATTAAGATATATTTAAAATTAGTGATTGGTAATCCCTTCAAACTTTAGGTAACATTCTATATAATTTGAATTCTTTTTATATTTCAAAAGATCTTAAATTTTTGCTTTTTCTTGACTATTCTTTTGAGTAAAATTCAAATAAAACACAAGATTATTTTATCTTTATAATAAAATAAATTGAAACAAGTAATCTTAATATTTGATATTAAGCATTTTTGGATTAATTAATAATATATAAAACTATTTTGGAATAAAAGAAAATCAACTTTATTTGGCTTATTTAAATCAAAAAATAAGGTAAAAATAAATACAACAAAAAAATTATTTCATAAAATTTCAAAATTTAAATTCTTTAGAGATTAATACAAATGTTAGTATTTTTATTTGATTGATTAATGGTACAGTAGAAGCTAACTTAAAGTTTAATGATTGTAAATGTCTAATAAGTTATCCTTATGTTGAGTTTATTTTGATTTTAATTTTATTGACTGCTTCATTTTTTATTATATATTATATAAATTCTGTCACAAGATTTAAAAAGTTACCATTTTTTCTGTGCCACTTAGCCACATACATTTTATTAATAATAGATTCTTTATCTTATAGTTCTCCAAAAACAGTATATAAGCAAAAACCCATATGACACTTGTGAAACTTATTTTATACTTAATATATAGTAATAAAAGCTCTCCCTTGTTTAGAAATTTCAACATATAATTCTGATTCATCAAATAATTTGATTGCTACCTAACCAATAGTTCTAGAGTTTTGTTTAAACTATTATTCCTCTGTTAATTCTCCTATTTAACGTTTAAGATTTTCAATAATAGCAGAACCTCTGCTATTGTAACTATCAAGAAAACGGGATGATTGCTTCATATGAGATTCTGAAAGAGGTTAAATATTTCTAACACCAGTCCAACTTTAGCTTGATCCTGTAACTTTCCACCAATCTAATGTATGTTGTTTGTTCTTTTGAGTTACATTAGTATCCTCTTCTGCTTATTTGACAGAATTCAAAATAGAGTGGAATGAGTCAAATAAATAATACACATCAGTTTCTTAATTTATCATATCTATAAATGCAGGGATTATTGTCAATGCAACATCCTTTCCAATCTATGCAATCTCAAATTTATTTGACACTTGTTTTGGTTATGAAGAATACTATAATTGAAGTGGCTATGATTAATGTACTTACAATTTATTCTTGCGTACAGAATCATACCTTTTTTATTACATTATTTATATAAATAATTGAATTCATATTTATTTCTATATTTTAATAACAATAAATGTTAAACATGGTTTATTGAAAATTTATCATTTATTTTTAATTATCATACCAAAGTTAAGTTATTATTCTTTCATTAAAAGCATTTAATTATTAAACCCTTAATTTCTTTAACTTTAAAAATTTTTAATGGAAAAATCAATTTTCTTTAAAATTATATTTAAGCTTATTTTTGATAAAATTATTAAAAAATAATTGTTTATACAACCCACAATTATAATACAATATTTTTTTAAAACATAATCATTAATTATCATTTTGCTTTAAAAAAAATGATCATCTAAAATTCAAATGATATATTGTTTGATTTTGGTATCTTAAGTTTTGTTCTGGGAGATAGGTTCACTTAGTAAGAAAAGGAAAAAAGAGCAACCATTAATATATTAAAACAAGAAACAATTAAACCACATAAATCATATATAAGAATTTTTGTGAAAAGTGATTTAATATACTACATTTTTGATATTAAAATATGTAATGATTTGTCCACTTAATAAATTATTATTGAATATATATTTAGATTTTTCCATGAATATTGGATAATTTTGTTAATCAAATATATAATTTGAAAAATAAACTAAATATAAATTCTAAAATTTCTTGTTAACTAAAATATGATTCTTCTCTTACCTCTAACAATTAAAAAAGTTTTTAAATTTGAAATCCTTAATTTATTTAATTGATAAATATGGAATTGATATTCTAAAATAAAAAAAGATTAAAAGTTTAGTGGTTAAATCAAAAAAATAATAAAAATATTATGCCAAAAAAATAATTAAAATAAATCATAAATTGATTTATGGTTGCAAGAATTAAACAGTCATATAAATAGTTATTAAAATATTATGAAAAGTTTTGAAGATCAATCAGAAATTATGTTATTTAAATAAAGTTTTCAGTAAAAATTATTTTTATTGATAATTCAAAATTTTCCTTGTTGATAAATATAATTAAGCTAATTTAATTTAAAAAAAATAGTTATTTATTTTGCGGGTATGATGATTTTTTGAGAATCTATTATTTATTTATATTAATTTCTAATCTTTGTGGGCAAAGTAGTTAGCATTCCCTTAAATCCATTTAAAACTAGCATTATTATAATATTTATTTTAAATAAATGATCTTAACTAATTACTCTATTTATTTCCCAAATATTCCACTTATTTATTGAGAGGAAAAATTATACAAATATAAGGTTATTTATATTGATTAATATTTGGAGTATAAATTTCTGGATTTTTTTCACCCCCTGCCCATAATTGCTTCATTTGTATATCTAAAATCTGGTAATTCCTAGGTAACCCAATTCTAGTATGCTATGGAATTAGAAATTTAATTTTAATAATTGAAATCAAGAGTTTCATTGCAATTAACAAGGGTTTGGTTAAAAGGGTGAAATAAATGTGCAGATATGGTAAAGACTATAAAGATAAGCCAACGTGGAATTAGGTGTCTCAGCAGTCAAACATAATAATAGATAAATTATAATGGCGTTAGATAAGTCGAAATATTTTCAAAAAATAATAAAAATTAATAGATTGAAAATGCTTTTCTTTACTTACTCTATTAGAGCTCATTATGATACGAAGCCCTTACAAATTTCGCTAATCCTATTAAACTCTCAAATAGTATTTTCTAATTAGTGTGTAGGAATAAAACTAATTTTTTTTAAATAAAAAATCAAATTTTAAAATCTTTAAATAATACTATTATTTAAAAAATTATATATATTAACAATTTTAGATAATTTTATTAATTTTTATAAGCCTCCACTTATTATAATAATTTGTGATATAAAATTAAACAATAAAATTCATTCTCATTTTAAATTATTTTAAATATTGCGATTCAAAGATCAAGTATTAGTAAGAAGTGTTAAAAATTGATTTATATCAAAAAATCTCTAAAATAAAATTCTAAGAAATAAAGAATAAATGAGAAAATAACAAAAGAGTTAGTCATAAATAATTTTAATTTCATAATATCTATGTTTTCAAATCTTAGGAATAATTGCAATTTAGTTGGCAATTTTCATTTGATCAAACATACTTTAGGTTTCAAATGGAGATTAGATGAATATGAAAGTTCTTTAATTTAACATAGATAAATAATATTTAACAGCGACCAATAATAAGAAAGTTCAAAAAACAATAAATCTGCATATATACTATGTTCTTATATGTGTAATTAAGAAAGAATCAACGACAATATTATGATGACATTTATAATCTAATTCTGAATTGTAGAGATTTATCTGATAAATTTTTAGTAAATGGTTAGATATTTGTTTTCTTAATTTACAAAATACTTCAAAGTGTACATTATTGACAGGATTTGCAATTTATAAATTTAGGTACACCAGATTAAAAAGCATATCAAACTCTCTAATGCTTTGTTGTTTATCAAACAACATCAGGGTAGGTTAAAATTCAACAATAAATCTTTAAGATGATAAAAATATTTTTACTTATTTTTATTATTTTGAAATATCAATAAATTTTGGAATACTTTAAAATCAAGCATAAAATGTAGAAATAAATAATCCTCTTAGTAAAGAATTAAATTTGCTGCTATTTAATTATTTATTTATTAGAAAATAGTTATATTTATTTGGATAAAAAAAAAAGAAAATATTACTTAAATTTCTGATCAGAGTTATTTCATTTTTTTAATTTTTATAAACAAAATTCTAAATATTAAGATTTAATGCTCTTTTATTCTAATGTCCATTAAATTGGAACATTATTCAAAGCTTTTTAATAGTAAATCAAAGCTTAGCCGCAAAACCCTTACATATATAATAAATATTGCATTTTCATAAGCTATAGACAAATTTTTATGATATGATTAAATTATACCTTTACTATTAAGACTTTTTGAATGATATATATTACTAACAAGAGCTTAATTAAGGAATTTTATTGAATAATTAAATAATAATTCCAGTAGCCTTATAATTAAGATTGAGAATTGGTTTAAATTAAATATAATAAGTCGACACTTTACGTATATTGAATCAACATGCTTATGATCTATGGTTAAGTTAATGCTTTATCAAACCAAGTTAATGCTTTCTTGATAGTTAATAATTTATAGTAATATTATATTTATTATTATAATTACATAAATATATCCTCCTAATTTAAGCGATATTTAACACTTCAATAATAAGGACAGGAAATTTTCTAAATTTAAATCTAAAGATCTTTCTTATAATTGTAAACCTTCAATGTTTTAAGCACTATTGCTATTTATAGTCAATTTTTATTTATTAATAATAGTTTATAAGTTTAAATATCTAATATTTCAATATCCCTTTGTCATATTGGTCTTAATAAAGTAGAAAATTAAAAATTAAGTATAATTTCTTCCTTTATTCTTCAAAACTAATTTTAATTGATTATTAATATTCTCTTAACTCTATCTTTTAGTAGAAGTATATCATTAATTTATGATAAATTTAATTAATATTATTTATCTTCTTTTAATGAATATTTTCTTCCAATTTTTAAATTAGAATATCTATTGATAACAATATTTAATTGGTAATTTAGATTCTCAATAAAACGATCACATTCAAAATTCTTACTTTAAATGAAATCAATTAAATTTATAAGATCCTGAATTAATGCATTTAAAACGCATTTATATAAATTCAGTGCATAATTCAACATAACATATTGTTTCAATATCATCTCTATGATAATCACGTTAAAATTTTAAATTCAACTTTGCTTTTTAAATCATTTAAATATTTTTATATATTATTTATTATTTATGACCTTTTTTAATTTATAATAATAAACTTTGATGAGATGAGAAAATAATTTTAATCTCTATTTAGCTAATGTTAGAATTAATTTTGATTTTTAAGTTGTCCATTATGCAAATTTCTTAATAAAATTATTGGAAGAGATTATTGATTTATCATATATTTGGATTAATATAATTAAAAATCAATTTAATTTTATATGCCTTCATCTATTGATCTTTGTGAATTTTTTATTGACCTATTACATAGAGGTTTAGAGAAAGTTGATTTTAAGAATAAATTTTTTACTTTAGAATTGAATATGATAATTGGAGCTGTAATGAGGTCATTATTTACTTTGATAATAGTACTTACGTTAGAAATAAGAGATTCAGTTAGTCTTTTTTATTATTCTTATATCTGGTTTATTCAAGGATTATTTATGAATTATGAATCATAATATATATTTGATGGAATATCTGATACTATATGCAGAGAAATTTGGTATAAGTCAATGAGTTTAGCTTAAAATTGTTTATAACTTGATCTTCTATTGAGATTATAGGGTTCTGAGGATATGTTAGATTTATGGTATGAGAGTGACTATTCTTTATCTGGTCTTTATAAAACAATTTTATTATGTCTAGCTGGGCTTGATTTATTGGAATTATTATTGTCTTTGATACGCAAATTTTGCTTAAAAGAAAATTAAGATTATAAGAGTCCAGGATAAGCCTAATATTTTCTTAAATTTCGTTTACTGGGAGGTATTATTGGAATAATTATTATACTCATTCTCATTATAGTATTTAAAGATTAAGAGGTAGATGGATTTAAGATTACTTAAGATATTATAATTTACATGGCTTGCCAAATGGGTGCAGCAACAATAATCTTGATTCGTTGTCTATATTATTGTCATATTATTTATGTCGAAAAAGAATAAAATAAAGATTTGTAGTATCAGATAAGGCTGCTACAGAAAAATAATTAATATCGAAAAAATGGTATTGCATCTTTATAGGATTCACATATGGGTTATTTGAAGGACCTGTTGCAATATATATACTAGTTTTTTCTATTGTTCTTTCTTACTGCAATGGATGGAATAAATTATTCTGTGCCGCTAAAATTATAGATGTTTAAATTGTTAATGAAAAAGAATAATAAGAATAGTTAAATACAATAATTAAATGAATATTTTATAAATTATGAATAATTTATCTCATCCTAATAAATATTATTTTAATGAAAATAAACAAACTTATATGGATTATTTTATAAATATAAAATAGTTCTAAATAAATTCACAATTCCGATTTGATAAAAAGGACTAATAAGAAATAAATACTATATAATAACTTAAATGTATCACTTTAATGGTGAAAATGATAGTATGGATGAATTTGATATCCATTATTTATGGGTAACGTTTTGATTTAATATTATTATAATTAAAAAGGAAGAGTTAAATAACATTTTTGGTGGATATAAAATTGGGTTAGAATTAGAATTGACATTCAGAAACAAATAAACAAGGAGAATAGCTTTATACCTAATTAATAAATGTAAAATTTAAATAAAATGAATTTAATTTATTCTAAAATAGGGGTTAATTTGATGGCACTGAAATGAAAGTTTATAGATGGGACGAATTGAAAAGGGTTATAAAAAGTAATTATAAAATCAAATCATCTTAGAATGTCAAATTTAATGAAAAGAGATTAAGAAAAGGAGAATAAATTAGAGCAGATGCCAATATTTATTTAGTTTAGCGGCTATGTAATTTTTAGGGCTACATATTGAAAAATAGATTTAATCAACAAAAAATAAAACAAGTATTTTCATTTTTTAATCTCAGCAATAAAACTCAAACTTATCTATATTAATTAACTATTTATTCTTAGAAAAAAATTAGTATTATCATTATATTTAGTTAAAAAATTGATTAGAATAAGATAATTTTATATAAATTTTAGAATTAAAAAATAAGAATTTTATCTATTTTACCAGACAAATATAAATAATAGACTATAGAGATTTCTATTTCATAAATGAAATACATTCTTAATTTTATTTATAATGATTATAATTTTTATAATCGAATTTTATTGAAATTAAAATTCATAGTAATAGGTGAAGAATCAATTTTATTTTCATTTATTAGACAAGAGTTTATTTTCATTTAGCATCAAATTACTTTTATTTTAATGTTGAGTATAATTAAATTATATGAACATTAATTAATTTTGATTTTATGTATGAATATATCATATGTTTCTATATCCACATCTTTATGTAGAATTATAATATATTTAGGGTTGTGAAAATGGATCATTTTTCAAATTAAAATAATTAAAATAATTCTCTTGAACCCTTTACTTTGATATCCATTTTTTATCAACATCCCAAATAAAAAATAAATATTCATAATAACACTGTTCGACTTCATTGTAACAATAATAATTGTGAAATGTAATTTAAGCAGGAAATTTTTGGCCATTATAATTACAAGCTTCCATGTTATTAACAGACTTATTGAAAGTGTTTAAAGTAAAGAAATTACTTAAATATTATAAATTTAGATTATTTTCTGAAAAATATAAAGGAATTGGCAAAAAACCTGTATCCATAGCATAATGGATTAACATGTCAGAATTAATTCCAATTATATTTAAATATAGCTCATTCATAAATCGTTATTAGGTTATAACTTAATCTCCAATTACTTTAGAAATATAACCAATATATGGTTTATCAATTGTATTTTAAAAATTAAAGAAATCACTTTCTTTCATTACCAAATATTGTGATAAATCTAATTTTTTGTGATTTAATTTCTCAAAAGATTTTTTTAGATTTTCACCTCCTCTACTTAAAACTTCAACAACATTTTCAACTGGAGTAAATTACCTCTGAATTGGATCAAATGTAACAAAAACAAGGTTGCCTTTCTTATCAATTTTATTGATTTTATAATTATAACAATAAAAATCTATATTTAGTTCTCCAAGTTAATTTTGATGATTATACATGAATAAAAATTATCATTTTGACTTATTCTTTAAAAAGGTGTTTTGGAATTTATAAAGATTTAAACAACAAAAAAAAAGCTTTTTCTTTTAATGCATTAAATTTCAGTTGATTTTAAAAAAACAAAGCATTATTAATTTTCCTCAAATTTAACATTAATGGATTGGATTTATTTTATAGCTTTCTAAATCTCATTATTGATTTATCAAGTCATCCAAAAAAAAAAAATTAAACACCATCAATCTTGTAATGGTTATACTCTCTTATAAAGAAAAATCCTCTAAATTGGTTTGAATATTTTGAACAAAATTCTCTTTTAGAATATTTATTATTTTAAACTTTTAAGTATATTTCTTAAGAATGCTTATCATTATTTAATGATTTTTTGCTTTCGACAGAGCTTCAATATATTCAAGAATCGATAAACTTTTATTGAAAATAAATGAGGTAAAAAGATTGGGATAATTAATTATTTCTTCAATC